TCGTGCCCTGAGAGATCCCTTCCATGCTGAGCAGGCTGCAGCAGAGCCATGTCAAGCCCCTGGTGCCACATCTCTGTGTCCCCTCCAGCTGCTGGCCCCTGCCATTGACTGGCTGGATTACCTGTCCTACGCCCTGGCCCCACTGGAGCTGGCAGACACGGAGCCCGTGGTGGTGTATGGTGATACCTACCTCCAGCAGGTCTCTGACCTCATCAATGACACTGACAGGAGGTGAGGCTTCTGCATGTCCCCACGGCTGGGGCACACTGTGAGCACATCAGTGTCTTGGAGTCATAGACTGTGGTGAGCTGCAGCATCTCTCTGCCCCCRCAGCATCCTGAACAATTACCTGATCTGGAACTTGGTGCAGAAGACAGCCTCCAGCCTGGACCAGCGCTTCGAGACRGCCCAGGAGAGGCTGCTGGAGACACTCTATGGCACCAGGAAGGTAACGGAGAGCCCTCGGACCAGACCATTCTGCCCCCAGCCTGGAAGCAGCCAGGACCTTTTCTGTCCTTGAGATGCCCTTGGGATGCTAAACCCTGGATGCTGCAGAGGAAACCCAGGGATTATATTCAGGGATAAGGGTTTAGCTGCCGCACATCTCACCTCTGATGAAAAGGCAGAGCCAGGCTAGGTGAAGGCAGGAGAGCAAGGGAGTGGGCTGGGAGTCTCACGGACCCTCATCTCACTCCCACAGTCCTGCACGCCCCGCTGGCAAACCTGCATCTCCAACACAGATGACACACTGGGCTTTGCRCTGGGCTCCCTCTTCGTCAAAGCCACGTTTGACCGGGACAGCAAGGCCATCGTGAGAATACTTCTGCCCCCATCCCCTCCCTACCACCATCCGTGGGAATCCTGATTCCACCCAAGCCCCAGGGATAGAAGGCRGGGAGCTGGGAAATGGGACCCCCAGCCCCAAGGAGGTTGCACCCTGTCCACCCTGTCCCCACCAAGGCATTGTGGGGAGAAGSGGGGTCATCATTCCCTCCCCTTCCCAGGCTGAGGAGATGATCAGTGAGATCCGTGCGGCCTTYGAGGTGTCCCTGGACCAGCTGGACTGGATGGATGAGAAGACCAGGCAGGCTGCAAAGGAGAAGGTGACCCCAGGGAGGGGAGTGGATGGGAAACCTCACCCTATCCAGATAAGCCTCCCATCTCACTGCTGGGGCCTCTSCCCATGCAGGCGGATGCCATCTACGACATGATTGGCTTCCCTGACTTCATCCTGGACAACAAGGAGCTGGACGATGTCTATGATGGGGTAGGGGGTAGGGGGCACCTGGATTGTGGGCAGAAGCTTGGTCATGCCACACTCTAGGGGGCCCCATGGTAGAGAGGAGCCCCGGTTTGGGATGTTATGCAAAGCCAGTACTGAGTTCAGCCTGGCCAGGGTGTGGGGTACCACCCTAGTGGACCCCTCCTCATCCCTCCTCTTCCTCACCAGTACGAGGTYTCTGAGGACTCCTTCTTCCAAAACATGCTCAACTTCTACAACTTCTCTGCCAAAGTGATGGCTGACCAGCTCCGGAAACCCCCCAACCGYGACCAGTAAGGGGAGGGCTCGGAGGGGAGGGCTCGGATCGGAYCCTGGGTGCCAGGATGGCACAGGTTAAGTGGGGAGAAGGCTCCCCACGTGACGTAGCACAGCACTGTAAGTCACCTGTGGTAGCACAGGTCACCTGTGGTAGCTGTAGCTTGTCCGCAGGACAGAGTTCCAGAAGTGCCAGCCCTGTGCAAGGCAGCACAGGGTCCCCGTGGTGGGCGATGGCACCCAGGAGGGTGCTGGGGGTTGGGGTGAGAGGGGACACACCCCTGCCTGTCCCCTGTCCCACCTCCCTTCCCCAGGTGGAGCATGACCCCGCAGACCGTCAATGCCTATTACTTGCCCACCAAGAACGGGATYGTCTTTCCTGCTGGGATCCTCCAGGCCCCCTTCTATGCCCGCAACCACCCCAAGTGAGTCTGTCATGGGAGGTGCCTCCTGGARGCATGGGTGGGATCAGGGCCAGCATGCCACAGAGACCCCCACAGTCACAAAGAAACTCCCTGGAGGGCTTGAGTGCCCCTCAAAGGCTGCCAAGACAGCCTGCAAAACCCACTTAGGGCCACCAGTGTCCCCACCAGGACTCATTCCCAGCTGGTTCCCATCTGGAGCAGAGTTTCACTTGGTGCCCAGATACAGACAGGGTGGGCTGCAASAGCATCACCAGCACATCCCATACTTACCTGGTTCTTTCCCATGGCCCCACAGAGCCCTTAATTTCGGTGGCATCGGCGTGGTGATGGGGCATGAGCTGACCCACGCATTTGATGACCAAGGTGAGAGCCTACAGGCAGCGCCAGCCCTGACCTGTCACCTTTGTGTCCCCACCCCAGCCCCTGCTCTTGGCGTGGGGAAGGGGTGCCCTGGGTGCACAGGGGTCCTGCTTTGCCATCCATTGCATCATGTGTGCTCGTGCCCCCCYAGCCACCCCCCTTCTATCGTCCTATCTCCCCAGGTGGCACCTGCCGATACCTCCCCCCGGCTTCTCTGTGCAGCTTTCGCTCCATCTGCTTGGTGAGGACACAGTGTCTGCAGCYCCAGCCCCCTTCTCATCCTCCTCCCTCCGGGGCACGGGATGGGTCCCTCTCGCATCCACTCTGCTTTGCGCCTTCACCACAGCCCCGGAGCTGACATGGGGTCAATGAGGGAATCTGGGGTTACAGATCTGGGCTGGGATAATGGAAATGCACTGGGGGATGGCTGGGGACTCAAGCACATGGCTGAGCTCCAGAGAGAGCCTGCTCACAGCAGGGGCTGGGGCACACCTTCCCCGCTGGGTGTGCACCCAAGGTGCCTGGTCCCCCGGTATCTCCCGGTGCCCATTCCCCCACTACCCCCCACTCTGCTTCGTGGTACCGGGAGGCTGCAGGGGGACGGCTTCCCCTGGTCCCACCCCAACCCACAGCTCGCTCTTGCAGGACGGGAGTACGACAAAGAGGGAAATCTGCGGCCRTGGTGGCAGAACTCCTCGCTGGAGGCCTTCAAGAACCGGACGGCGTGCATGACGGAGCAGTACGGCCGCTACACCGTCCACAGCGAGAAGGTCAACGGGCGGCAGACGCTGGGAGAGAACATCGCCGACAATGGCGGGCTCAAGGCAGCCTACAACGTGAGTGACGCCATGCGGAGGGGACACGGACCCCAAAACCTGTCTGTGCCTCCCGGGGCTTCAGGCCAGCTCTCCTGCAGGCTTACAAGTCCTGGCTGCAGAAAAACGGGGAGGAGAAGCGCCTGCCAGCCCTGGAGCTCACCAACCACCAGCTCTTCTTCGTGGGCTTTGCGCAGGTAGGGCGGAGCGCGATGATGGGCTTCCCGTCCCTCCCTGGCTCCTCGGAGCCACCCCACAGCTCCCCATCCTGCACCGGGGGATGCTCTGTCCCCACCCCTGAGGCTGCTCCCGCTCCGTCAGGTGTGGTGCTCCGTCAGGACGCCAGAGAGCTCCCACGAAGGGCTGGTGACCGACCCCCACAGTCCCGATAAGTACCGTGTCATCGGCACCCTCAGCAATTCCAGGGACTTTGTCGAGCACTTCGGCTGCCCCCTGGGCTCCCCCATGAACCCCGGCAAGCACTGTGAGGTGTGGTAGGGACGGGGAGGGTGCTGGGGACAGAGGGGATGATGCTCTGCTGTGCCCCTGCTCCCCAGAGCTCAGTGGCTGCCGGAGCTGGCCACGGGCAGAGCGCAGTCCCCGTCCTGTGCTCACACTGCACACCCCACCTCTGCACCCTCCCCGGCACACACGGCCCCACACCAGGCACCCACCGCAGCCCCATCCGCAGCCTGGGGCTGGACACGGCCGGCAGAGAGGCTGTAGCACCCCAAAAACGCAGCTCTGCCCCCCAACCCTGATGTGCTCCAGTCGGGCACAGCTCAGTGTTCCCCGCGCCGCGCCCCCCCTCAGGCGGACAGGTCAGAGGGGTCCCAGGGAAAGCACCAGAGCCAAGATCCCCCTGCTCCTGCCCCCARCCTGCCGGAGATGGAGGCTGGGGGCCACCCGGCTCCACGCTTCCCTTGTCCCCTCCCAATGCAGCTTGGCTTCCCCATCCACCTCTGCTGGGACCAGCGGGCGGCATCGGGGACTCTGGTGCCTTCAGCTGTGGGTGGCTGTCGCCGAGTTTATTTAACGATTAAATGCAGTTTCCACTTACTCCAGCAGCTCCTGGTCCTTCGCGGTGTCGGGGCGCGGGGGAGAGGTGGGATCTGGACCGGGGGAGGGGGTTCCGAGGCTGGGGASCGCGTGGCAATGAGACATCCCGAGAGAGGGGAGCGGGGATTGAGATGGCTGGACGGACATGTCGTGRATGAGGGAAGCAGATACGGGGGAAAGAAGACCAAGGCTGGCGGGGACAAGTCAGAGGCACGGGAGTTCCCGGTAGAGCCCAGCCCGGGGTTGCCGCTACCCCAGCGCGGGTGACCCAACTCGGCTCCAGCACTCCACCCCGAGTCCCCGGGGCCCGCCTCGGCCGGTCCCGCCCCGCACAGCACGGCTCCAGCTCCACCCCGGGTTTTTCCGGACTCCCCGGTACCGGGACCCCGCTGGACTCCGCCAAGCATAGCACTTGCAAAGGCTGCTGGGAGTTGTAGTCCTACCCGCCGCTGGCGCAGGACACGACGGGAACTATAGTTCGGCGTGAGGGATGCTGGGAGTGGTAGTTCGGYCACTGTCGGCCCGCCGCCGCGCCGCGAGGGCTGGACTACATTTCCCAGCAGAAAGCGCGGCAGGGCCAGGGTCCGGGCCTGGGCGCCTCGGGGGTACGGGGGTACCGGGACCGGGCGCGGCGGCGGGACTGGGCCGGGACCGAGCCGGGGGCTGGGCCGGGACAGATCGCGGGGGCYGGACCTGGGTGGGAGCCGGGGCCAAGCCCCGGGCTGGGTCACGGGTGCTGGGCCTGGGCYCGATCCCGGGTGCGGGACWGGGTCCCGGCTGGGCCGAGGATACSGGRTCGARCCGGGTACCGGGCACCARTGGGTGCTGGAGCTGAACTACCCCCACCGGGGCCRCGGGCAAGCTTGGCCCTAGGGCGGCAGGGCCTGGGGACACGAGCAGAGGGACATCCCTACCTTGGGGTCAGGGGCAATGAGACAGCCCCGATTTGGGGACAGGAATGCAGGGACACCCCTACCTTCAGAACAGGGTCAGTGGGATATCCGTGTGAAGGGTGACACGGCCCCATTTCCCAGACAACATGCTCACCTTGCAGGCGTTTGCCACCCGAGCCTGGCACCATGGACAAGCCCATCAGTCCGGGGGAGCTGCTATGTCTGGGCTCCAGCCTTGCCTTCTCTGGCCTCTTCTACTACCTGTACAGGAGGAAAGCCAGAGTCGTGGCCCGCATACAGGTGAGGTGTCTCTCTGATGCTCTCTCCTGCCCACTGTCCCTTCCCCACTGCCCTCCATCCTTTGATTTGGGTGCACACACTGATGCCTGCAGCCTGCTCCATCCTCTGGTGACGAGCAGGAACTGAGCAGGTCACATCCTGCCAGAGATCTTCACAGAGCCATTCTTGGCCTACCCTCTGCCTGCCCCTGCCTGTGCTCACACTTAGTTCAAACTCTTCCAGGAGGCCCCAAAGCTCCAGGTCGATGACAATTTGCCAGCCCTTGTGTCTGCTGCTGAGGGGAGATGCCTGCCTTATGTTGCCCTGGAAGGTAAGGACACCCTGTGGCCCTACACAAGGGTCAAGGACCAGGATCTCCTTTTTTGGCTGTGACACATCCCTTGTCCTTAGGCATAGTGCTGCCAGCCCAGGCTGCACTGACCAGCCACTACCATGAGGGGCTGCAGGGCGTGATCCAGAAACTGCTGCTGAAGGAGCATCGGCTGATCTGGAACAGCTTGGCCCGAAGCTGGTGAGTGATGGGGAGGGRCCACAGGAGTGGGCTTGCACCAGTGAGTCCAAACCCCCATCCTCTAGGGCCACTTGAGAGGCAGAAAATAACTTGGTAAAATTCAGTCACTATGCTTAGTTCAGTCCCAAGAGCTCAGAGCTTCTCCGCATTGTGGCCAGCAGGAGCAGGGCAGTGATCATCTCCCTGTGCAAGGCACTGGTGAAGCCAGGACACCTTGAGTCCTGGAGAACCGTCTAGAGTCCAGTTCTGGGTCCCTCAACTCAGGAAGGACATTGACCTGCTGGAGCAASTSCAGAGAAGGGCAGCAGAGCTGGTGAAGGGCTGGAGCACAAGTCTGATGAGGAGCACTGAAGAAGCTGGGGATGTTTAGCCTGGAGAAGAAGAGATTCTGGGGTGACCTTATTGCTCTCTACAATCCCCTGCAAGGAGATTGTAGCCAGGTCAACCTCTTCTCCCAGGCAGTCAGTGACAAGATGAGAAGAAATGGCCTCAAGCTGTGCCAGGGGAGCTTTAGGTTAGAGGTTAGAAGAGCTGCTTCACAGAAAGGATGATTAGACATTGGAATGAGCTGTCCAGGGAGCAGGAGGCTCCACCACCAGGGAGGTGGTGGAATTGACATCYCTGGGGACSTTTAAGGAAAGATTGGACGTAGCACTTAGTGCCATGGTCTAGATGACAAGCTGGTGTTCAATCATAGGTTAGACYTGATGATTTCAGAAGTCAACCTAACTGATTCTGTGATTCTCCACACCCCAACCCTCTCCACTTGCAGGAGTGAGAGCGAGAGGGTGCTCTCAGAGCAGATCTACACTGTCCCCTTCCTGCTGGCCTCKCCAGGCTCTGAGGCAGTGACACAGGTGAGTGTGGACAGCCCGCTCCAAGCCGTCTGCCTGCCCCTGGAGATGGTATACGAGCGATTCCAGCAGCCAACCCACGGCTTCCGCGACCTGCTGGGCCAGTACCTGATCGGGGAGAAGCCCAAGGGCATCCTGGAGACGGAGGAGATGCTGCGGGTGGGGGCCGGSCTGACGGGCATCGGAGAGCTGTCCCTGCAGCCCGATGGCTCCTTGCACCTGCAGCCTCCTAGCCGGGGAGGCGAGTTTTTTCTGTGCCTGGGGGACTGGCAGACGGTGCTGTCGGAGCTGGAGTCCACCAGCAGGCTGTGGAAGGGGGCAGCGTTGCTGTGTGCTGCAGCAGGGCTGGCTGTGCTCCTGCACGCCCTGTGCTGTGCCTACCGCCGCTCCCGCCCCAAGCAGCAGCAGGACGACAAGGAGATGGATGGGGAGGAGGCCGGGGACGGGGCACCCGAGGACTCCTGTGTGATCTGCCTGGCACGGCCCCGTGAGTGTGTCCTCCTGGGYTGTGGCCACATCTGCTGCTGCTTCCGCTGCTTCCAGGCCTTGCCCACCCGCCTCTGCCCCATCTGCCGGGGGCCCATTGACCGCGTGGTGCCCCTCTACCAGGCCTGAGAGCACCTGGGCATGTCCAGGGACGGGCAGTGCAAATCGAGCCAAGCCTGGAGCCTGCAGAAATCTCGATTGTCTTCTCATGTGCAGCTGTGCAATTCTTGTTGAGAGGGAGGAGTCTTGGTGTGCCCTTYAATCTGTTTTGGGGGTGGGGGGAGTTATAGCCTCCTCATCCTCCTTTTGTCTACCAGACAGACTCCTCTAAAACACCAAGGCTTGGGGAAAATCTACACAACACCTGAGCTGAGGAGCTGAGACCCCAGCCCTGTGCTGGGGTACTACTTTGGCTGCCAACTGTCGGACCTTTTTCAGCCATGATGCCCCCAAAGCCATGAAGGACTTCTCCCTTGTGATTTTTCTTCCAGTGTGTGGATTTATGGGAAGGATTATATTATGAAGGCAAGACCAGGGCTGGTGGGACACAGCAGGCACAGTGGAGTGGCAGAAACCCAACTCCTGAGCCGTTGCAGTGGCATACCTTGGTGCCACTGTTGTTCTGCCACCCCGATCTGTGTGCCTACAGCCATTGCCCAGATCACGCAGGGGGAACCCAGGGTCTGGCAGTGATGAGTCCCTTTGCCAGCTGCTCTACCATCTAGGGAGGGGGGCTATCACCCTCTGTCMCTCCCTGCAGGGGGAACAGCTTTAGAGTGCCCCAGAGCCTGCCCTCTTGTCCAGTCCCACTGCACCCGGTTTTCCTACTCAACTCCTGGACAGGACCAAGGGTGGGAATGGCTTGCAGTGGTGTGTGGAGTGATAAAGGCAAGGAGCTGAGCCCGGCCTCACCTCTTCCTTTGCGCCGTTGAGCCAGGGTCAGGGTGGGTGCTGGGAGCCAAGGCTCTCCCCTTGGAGGGGTAGGCACCACTGCCTCCCCTCCTTTCTTATCCAAGAAGCTGGCCCGGGTTCACAGTGGAGCCCAGGTGCATCTCCTCAGGATGCAGCCTTGGGTGGGGGGTGGCAGGACACACAGGACCGTTGCCAAGGTGATTGTGCTCCTCGGGTCTCCATGGCAACTGCTCCCCTGGACTGCTCCCCATCACTGCCTGGCTGCAGTTGCCCAGGCAACCCACGGGCTCTCCCGGCTCCTGCAGCTTTGGGGCACCCAGGCTTTGGGGGTGGGGGACACTGCTGGCAGGCCAGGCAGCTGGGATTGGAGGGGGATGATGTACCCCTCCCCAGGGCAGTGGCCACCACTCCTGCTGGGCTGGGKGTTTGCTTGGGGCAAAGGTACCTTTGCGGGGTTGCCCCAGGACTCAGAGCCAGACATGACACCCCAGGGGACCCAGTAAGGCCTCCTGGGAACCACATGCATTTTTGGGGTGGGGATGTGTGAGGGAGTTCTCTTCCTCCACCCCCTCTTATCTCAGCCCAGCCTCTTCCGTGGGCTGCAGAGTGAGCAATGGGGCCCAAGCCCGTCTTGGCCCCCACCGCCCCGGCACCGGGCATCCCCCCCGCAGCAGGAGGGATTTCGGGAAGGAGATAAATACCAGATGGGAGAGGGCCGGGCTGCCAGGAACACACTCCCTGAATGCCAAGAGCTTCTGGCACGAGTGGGCGCGTGGGCCGGGGAGGACGGGGGGTGCCCCTGCTCCCGGAGACTGCTCACCTCGTTCCCCGGAGCCCAGCAGCCAGGCAGAGATGGGACAATTAGAGAGGGGGCTGCACTCCCACTCCCCTCTGCCTCCAAAGGTGCCCAGGGCAGAGGCATATCCCTTGGGCTGATGAGACGCACGGAGGGAGGGTGCCACCCCGCCGTGCTGGGGCACAGCCCTACTCTGTCCCCAGCCGGGTCTCTGCCACTCCCAGGAGGCCACCAGCCCGGCAGTGGCCAGGCCCTGCTGGCATGGCTCCGGGCAGCAGCATGACTCACCCGCTCAGCTCACCGACAGCCAGAGCTTGCCGTGCCAAACCCGCGGCTCAGGGGCTGGCACAGGGGCTGTCCAGCCATGCTGCAGTGCCTGCATCCCCAGACAAACCCACTGTGCRCCTCCCGTGGGCATTTGGTCAGGAGCCATAAGCGGGGAGCTCACAGTGCCTGGGCTGAGCAGCCCAGCCTCCCTCCCCACCACCAGGCCAGGCACCCTGACAGCTGCCCCCTGTCACCCACAGAGTGCCCCTGAGTGCCAGCCCATGCCCATGGCCTCCACCTGCTCCCCCCAGGGCTGCCAGCCCGCTYCGCCTGCCTCCCTGTCTGTTGTCATGGTGACCAGAGATGTGGTGACAGGCGAGGATGGAGCCTCACACCCCGGCAGGGCTGTTTGCCCAGCAGGGGCGGCTACCCCCACCCTCCTGCTCTTCCCTGTCACCCCCAGCTCTGGGCAGGGGACTCTCAGTGAAGCCCCCGCCCCAGGCAGTGTGCTGGGAGTGCTCCATCTGCTCAGAAGCCAGGATCGCAGCTGTGTCCCAGGCAGCTCGCATGAGGAATGGGGACAGTGCCATCCTCCTTCCCCCTGCCCTGACAGGGCAGCCCTTCCCAAAACCAGGCTGTGCACAGAGACACAAACTCATCTCAGTCATGACAACCTGTCTTTCTTCCCTGGAAAAGACAGTGTTCCCCCAGGGACAGCCTCATCTTCCCACAGCAGCAGCTGCAGGAACAGCAGAAGACGAGGAGCATGCCACTCTCACACACTTGCCCTGGGCTCACCCACAGCACAGCTGCCAAGCAGGATGCCTGTCCCCCAATATCTCTGCACTATGGTGACAACGTTTACCACAACCACAGTCCCACAAGGCCATCCTCATTGCCTGTACCCAGCCCCAGTGCGTGTCTCTGCTCCCCCAAAACGCCTGGATCATGGTACAGGCAGCACACACAGCAGCATCCSCACCTGGGCTGTGGTTACTGAGAGCCAGCGGCAGCAGCCAGGGATGGGCACRTCCCCAGCCTTACCAGTAACCTGGTGCTTTGTGCTGGGATGAGGACTAGGGGAGAGCATCAGTGCCAACAGCAGGCGCTCAGTGAGGCCCCCCCAGGCTGTGGCTGCCACTGCTGTGGAACAGAAGTGCCATTTCACGTTTCTTGGCAGGGCTGGAAGCAACACAGATGGAGGCACCCGCACTGGCCTCCTTGGCAGCCCCCAGCCCTGTGGCACCAGCCCCAGGTGAAAGCACTGCCACCAAGACCTGCAGCAGAGAAAGCCCTGGGTCCTGTGGCTGATGCCTCCTGCCTCCTTTCAGCTCCCTGACATCCCKTTCAGCTACTGACCCCATTCCTGCCAGGCATTGGACTGGATGGGAGCCTGGTGGTTCCCAGCTCCAGCTGCCTGGATTCCTGCAGAGCATGGGCAGGATGTGCCCCATCTTGCACATGTGCAGGATGATTTTCCACCATAAAACCCAGAGCATCGCCCAAGTGGGGGTGATGTAGCACAACCTCCAGTGCCAGCCCCACTGCAGCTGAGGGTCTGATGCTGTGCCCCCTACCCAGCCCCATATCCACCTGTGGGGGCACAGCTGGCATCACAGCTCCCAGCCCTTGCATCATCCCCAAGGTGTCTCAGCTCAGGGGCATCTGCACAGGTTTAAGGAGCCAGGGCAGGAAGAACCACCTGCTTCCCACTCCCACAGCCTCTTCTTTCTGATGGAGATTGCTTTGTGTTGGACAAAAGGCTGCAAAGGAAGCGAGCAAGGAGATTACGTGGCTGCTAAAAGACGGATAAGGAAGGTGGGATGAGAGCCAGGGGAAGGAGGGCGCTCGTCTGGCTCACCAGGAGGGATGCTACGTGCGATAGCAGGGAATGAGGGGGGTTTCTCATGCACCCCACTGCCAACCYGCTCACATTCAGGTCCCTGATACCTCTCCTGCTACTCAGGGATGTGTGAAGAGCGGTGCTCTTGGGGAACTAGAGCTATGCCAAGGAACTCAGAGCCACAGAACTCAGAGCCACAGGGCTGCCCTGTCCCACCCACAGCCCAGCTGTGCTGGCACAAAGCCAGCTCTCCTCCTGCCTGGGATGGGCAGATGGTCCTTCCCACACCCCAAATCCAGGCAGCCCCCACAGAGCCCCCCCCACCCCAAGTGGAAGCCAAGTCAAGCAGATTCCCCGGGTGTGAGGCACTGTACCACTCCAGGTGTGGGATAAGCGGGACCATTCCCAGGGTGACCCCTTTCCAGCCTCTCCCCAGCAGCCTGCCAGGCTGGAAACCCTCCTGGAGCGCTGCACCAGTGCCACTCACATCCCACACAGCCCATCTGCTCCTCTTGTCACTCACCCCCCGCCCYGCGCGTGCCACGGTCTGCCTGTCCCTGCCCACGGGCAGTGGCACGTGGGCTCAGCAACGGGAAAAGCAGGCCACATCTCAGCGTGGGCCTCTTGCCTATTTTCCCAGGCACTTTTCACAAGAGCAGAAGCCTTCACGCAAAAAAAAGTTCAAGCTGGTTCCTCAGCAAAGGCGTGAATAAAGGCATTGCCTTGCCAGGAGAGCAGGCACCACTGCCCCGACCTGGTTCTGATAGGGGACAGCAGSGATCAATATTCTGCAGAGCCAGACATAAAGGTTAAAGCATGGCTGAGCCTTCCCAAAATAAAAGAACCTGCCTGCCCTCATGGAGCAGCCTGGCTGATGCTCTTCTGCAGCACCTTTCAACAGGATCTCACGTCATGGAGATGCTGGATTAGCAACATGGACCACAGGGCTCTCTGTAAAACTGTGCTCTCACCCCATCAAGGTATTCTCACAGGGCTGTGGGCTGGCAGCCACAGAAATGCCACTTTCATTCAGGGCTCTGGCTCAGCTGCAACCCAGTACCCCACATGAGCAGCAAGACCTGGATATGAAGGAACAGAAGGGACAGGACCATTGCAAGACAGGATGGTCTTTCCAACTAGCCATAGCCTCTGCTGCTGTCACCATCCTTCCCAGATCCAGGGGTCATGACTGTACCCACAGTTCAAGAAAGAAGCACCAACTTTAGCCTGAGCTTAAATAGCCCCCATCTGTYCCAGGTAACCTGAATGAYRGAGGTCCTGGGTGAGAYTCCTCAGAACTACCGATGCMAATTAAYGCAATCACTGYTCTGGCAGTGAACAGTGTAGCAGGRAAGAASCAGGSTGGGTCTGGGRTAGAGGTGTGTAGACACAAATGGGGCTCTGAGGGGACACTGGGGTCACCCCTTGCTGCCCCATGGCAGGTTCCCACGAGGGAGAGCCCTTTTCTTTGTCCACAGAGAGTCYCCAGGGAAGGGTCAGTGGAACAAGGGGCATCCCAGGGCACAGTCTCCACGAGGCCGTGCTTACAGACACCTGCAGAATCACACCTGTGCTCCCCCGCATTCCTGCAAAGACATGGAATGGGAGGACGTGTACAAACACATGCACACGTGGGGCCAAGAGGATTGGCAAGGTTTGAGGCAGGACTGGTGTGGCTCCAAGGGGGAATCCCAACACTGTGGGGGTTTGCAAGAGTGGGTGCCTGAATGGATGTTGGGCAAGAGACAGAAGCAGGAGGCTGGGGGAGACCCAGGGTGGGAGTTGGCCTGGGATTCTGAGGGGTTGAGCTTTCTGGGCTGTGGGGTGCTGGAGCAGCATGTTTGGGGTCTGTTTGGCATTGCCTTTGCACGCCAGAGCAGGGCTCGGCTGTGTCTGATGGTCCTCAGCTGTCTGGCCCGGGGCCACCCGGCTGTGTCAAGGGGTCCCCTCTCTACAGGGGCACCCCACGGTTGGGGACACCCCCGAGTCGAGGCGACMGCCTCGGCAAGGCTGTGCCGGGGGGACTACCGTGCTCCGGACACCGGGCAGGGGCTGGGGCGGCGGTGTGGCAGGGTCCCCGTGTCACCCGGGCTGTCCCCGGGCACCGGCCGTGGGGGTCCCCCGTCCCTGTCCTGGCCGGGCCGGGCCGGGCCGCGGCGCTCCGGAGCCGCCCCCCGCCGGGGGGGTCCCCGCTCCCCCCGGATGCATGACTTCATCCTTCCGCCCGGGTTTCCTCCCCGCCGCCGCCGCCGCCGCCGCAGACCGGCTCCCGGCTCGGCGCGGCGCGGCTCGGCCCGCTCGGCCCCGCCATGTCGCAGGTGCTGCCCTACGGCGAGGACAAGGTGGGCCGCTACGGCGCCGAGCCCGAGGCGGGGGAGCTGCCCTTCAGCTGCCGCCTGCAGGACACCAACGCCTTCTTCGGGGGCAACCAGGGCAAGCGGCCCCCCAAGCTGGGACAGATCGGCCGCGCCAAGAGAGGTACCGCCGACCCCCACCTCTGTCCCCCCGACCCCGCCTCAGCCCCGCGGCATCCCCGGGACCCCCGCATCTGCCCTTCAGCATCCCCGGGTTTGTCCCGGGACCCTCGGATCTGCCCTGCAGATCCCCGGCGTTCCCGACTGACTCCTGCGTCCCCGGCGCTGCCCCACRGCATCCCCGAGACCCCCGGATCTGTCCTTTTATCCCCGGTGCTGACTCCTTCATCCCCGGCACTGCCCCATGGAATCCTCGGAACTCCCACATCTGTCCTGCAACATCCCCGGCACCGCCTCCTGCATCCCTGACGCTGCCCCACGGCATYCCCGGGACCCCCGCATCTGTCCTTGCATTGCCGGCTCTGCCCTGGAATCCCCTGCTCTGCCCTGGAATTCCCGGTTCTGCTGCCCTGCAGCATCCCTGGCTCTGCCCTGCAGCATCCCTGGCTCTGCCCCCCGGCATCCCCGGCACTGGCCCTTGCATCTCCAGCGCCATCCCATAGCATCTCCAGGATTCACGATTCTGCCCTTTTTTCCTCGGCATTCCCGGCACTGGGCAGTGCATCCTTGGCGTCCCCAATATCACCCCACGACATCCCCAGACTCACGATTCTGTCCTTGTATTCCCTGTTCTGCCCCATGGCAACCCCTATCTCTGCCCTTCAATATCCCCAGCACTGCCCCACAGCATCTCCGGTCCCCCARTAGTGGCTCTCACATCCTCAGCACTGCGCCCCAGCATCTCTGTGACTCCCAGCTCTGCCTTGCATCCCCAGCACTGTCCCCTGCCACCCCTGGCACTGCCCCACAGCATCCCCAGCGTTGCTACCCCACTATCCCCAGAATCTCGGTCTCTGCCCTACATTAGCTCCAGCAGTGTCCCCCGGCAACCCTGAGACTCCCCAGCTCTGTGACTGACACCCGCCCCCAAAACCACGGCCCCCCCCATCGTCTGCTCCAGACACCTGCGCTGTTCCCACGGTGCTGCCCTGCAACAGCCCCCGCCTCATCCCGGGAATACCTCTGGGATTACCCTGCAGCATCCCTGGGGCTGCCCATGGGACTGTGCCCCGGCACCTCCGTGAGTGCCCCTGGGATACCCCCGAACTGCTCCTCAGCACCCCTGGGACTGCCCCCTCTCATTCCCTATAAACAAATCTCTGCCCCAGCATCACCAGGAACAGCCCCCCTGGGCCCCTAAACCTCTCTCCCTTCACATTCCTGCCTGCCGCAGAGACCCCCAGCAGCAGCCTCTGGCCATGCTGATCAGCAAATCCCCCACCACCAATGTCCCCCCAGGACCCCATGAACCTGTGTCCTGCCCCCCTCTACCTTACCACCACCGCAGAGACCCCGATCAGCATCTCCCCTGCTTCCATCAGGATGCAAATAACTGTCCCCCTCTCCTACCTGCACCCTGTTTTGTCACCACTGATCTTCCCCAATGCCTTGGGGACCCTCAAAAATGGCCTCCGCTTTTCCTGCAGCCCCCATCCCACCCGCTTGAGGGTTCTCCATAGGCAAATACCCCTCCTTGAGTTGCAGGGACAAGGGTGGGGGGGAAGAGCTCCCCCCCAGCACAAATACACCCCAACCCCACAGAGGGTGAACCGSTGCCTGCTCCACTGCCCCCTTTTGCAGTGGTGGAGGCTGGATCYGGCATCCCCCCGGGGGTGATGTGGGGATGGTTCTCCCTCAGTGGTGTTGGGGGGTCCATCTGCTCTGCCAGTGATTCTGGTGACGAKGGGGTGAGGGGGTCAGGTTAATCCACCCCCAGGGTGGTGATGGGGGGGATTACTGACCACCCCGGTAGTGATRTTGGGGTGGGGGGTCTTTCCTCCATCCCCCGGAGCGATATTGGTGAGGGGAGCGTGCCCTGGTCATGTTGTGGGGTGGGGGGAAGGTGTGTTTGTAGCTCCCTGGTGATGCCAATGGGGTCTGTCCAGCCTCCCACGGGTGCTGATGGTGGCGTGGGGGCTCCCCGGTGGGTGATGCTGAGGGGGGGGCTCTCTCTGGAAGGCGATAGTGATGGGGGGCTGTCCAGCCCCCCATGGTGATGCCGATGGGGGTTCGTGCAGCCCGCCATGCTGGTGGGGGGCTGTCTGGCTCCCCCACCCGCGGTGCCGRTGGTGAGGGTGGGTGTCCTGCGCAGCGGGTGATGCTGACAGGGGTCTGGCTGCCACCCCCGCCGAGCCGGCGGTGCTCCCCCCGCTGGGTCATTACCCATTCCAGTCCTGTTGCTCTCATCAGCGCCTGCCGCAGAGAGGAGGGGGGGTCCTTCCTGGTCTATTCCTGCCCCCCCCTTCCCTAATCACCCATCCGGAGGCAGCCGGCTGGCTGCGGAGGGGATGCTGCCCCTACCCGGGGCGGGCAGGGGGATGATCCCCACCCTTCATCGCGGTAGCACCCACCCGAACCCCCTTAGTCCCGCTGCCCAGCACCTGGGGGGCACACCTGGAGCCCGAGCGGGGTGAGAGCCGGGCTAGAGGGGCAGAGGCTGYCGCGTCCCCTCGCCCACGCGTCCCCCCGCCTGTCCCCGCAGTGGTGATCGAGGATGACCGGATAGACGAAGTGCTCAAGGGCATGACGGAGAAGTCGCCGCCGGGGGTGTAAGCCGGGACCCGCCGCCAGGACCCGCCGGCCGAGCCCAGCTCCAGCCCGCCGCCCCGCATGCTGGCTGGACCGCCGATGAGGAGGGGGAGGCCATGCCCGCTGCCCCCCTCCCCGGCCCGGGGGGGGGCCCTGCAGCCACCACCACCCCCCCCCCGAGCCATGCACTTTACCCCTCCGCCTCCCCCGGGGCCGGGACAACCCGCCGAGCCCCCCACCCTGGGCGAAGACCCCCCTCCCCGGGGAAGGGGCCCAGCCCCCTGCTCCGCGGCGCATCCCCCCCATCCTCCTTGGCGGAGGGTCCCCGAATTTCGGGGTGACCCGGCCCCAAGAGCGGGGGGGAGCGCTGCTGTCCAGAGACATTTTTTGCTCCATCGTTTTTTGCATGAGCTTGGTGGCCCGGGCGGCCGGCCCGGGGGCCGAGAGTCAGCCCCACCACTCCGGCACGCTTCTTTTTAAACAGAAACTCCTCATATTTGTATTTTTATATCCGAATCTTTGTTAAAAACGATCTGCTGACGTTGAGATGTCGAAGTAACTGCATCGAGAAAACAAACGAAAACAACCAACCAACCAACCAACCAACCAGCCAACCAACCAACAAAAAAAGGTTCTTATTTTTTTCCATAAGAAAAAAAAAGATAAAAAAAGAAGAAAAAAACGAGGGGAAGAATTAAAGGGGGGGCAAGAGTGATGGAGGGAGCACGAGGAAAGCCAAAGGAGGAGGGAGGGGAGAAGGGACCCCTGGCCCGACCCCCCACACGCAGGCAGCAGGAGCACCGAGGGTTTGGCAGCATCAGCGGCTGCTGCAGTTCCCTCCCGGCAGCACCGGGRCAGAGCCCACCGGGGCCAGCTGCGGGTGCCGGGGGGGTGTCCCAGCCCTGCCCCTCGCTTGAGGGTGGTGGTGCCAGGGGACAGTGGGGAGGGCAGGGACCGGCCTGAGTCGTTGTTTTTAATTTTGTACTTTAATTTAATTTTATTTTTTAAGAAGCTTCTCGGGGGGTTCTGATGTGCATGAGAAACTTGTCATCTTTTTCAATAACCTACGAGTGGCATTTATGGAGACAACGACGCAAAAAAAAAAAAAAAAAAAAAAAAAAAAAAAAAAAAAAAAAAAAAAAAAAAAAAAACTGAGAAAAAAACAAAAAAAAAAAAGAAAAAAAAAGATACTTGTGTCATGATGTTCAACGAATGATCCATTGTAAATTTAAATGCCATTTTTCACTGTACTGGTGAACAAAATGCAATGAATAAAATACATTCATGTACCCAGGTGAAGCCGGCAGCCGCCTGCTCCTTTCTGTCCCTTCCTCGCGTCAGCTGGTTTTTGGGGTGCCTGTGGGATGGGGTGGCACGGCCAGGGTGGGGACTGACCCCGGAGCCCTTCACGGGCTCCCAGTGCAGGGGGAGCCACTGGCTGACCCACTTATGCCTTTCGCCTGAAATAGCAAGCCAGCAGCTCGCGCCTCTGTGGTGTCACCGCCGTCCCRCCCAGGAGGGGTCCCCTCTGCACACCCCAAAGGGAGCTGGTGCCCAAAGAGCCCTGGGGACACTGACACCAGAACCCATGCACCCGCCACACCAGCTCCCAGGTGCAGCCGGTGCTGCCAGCACACGGTGGCATGCCTGTCATCCACCCTGGCACTCGTGTGTCACCACACTGCTGGCCCCAGGCACGGGGGAACATGGGCCAAGTATGTGTGGCACACTGGGCTTGTCAGCACAGCCAGGAGTGGGGCTGGACAGGCACAGAGGCAGATGTGCTGCCCTTCCTGCCCTATGGCACTCCCGGCCCCGTGCTGGCACATCCCAGCCTGGATCCCTCGCTGCCTGGCCAGGGGTGACAATTACACGGTGTCCTTGCAAACCCCCATGGCCAGGGAGGCTGGGGCAGGGGTCCTGGTGTAGGATGGGGGGGAATGGGGTGGAGCAGAGGGCACCCCTGGTCCTGCCCTCCATACCCAGTGCCTGCATCCCCATTCTGCTCTCAGCCYGGCTGCCTGTGCYRAGGGGAAGGGATGGGGGGCAGGGAGCCACTCCCCGCAAGATGGATGGGTGAAATTAAACCCGATTTGGTTTCATTACTGGCTGCAAAGCCTGGAGTCCTGGCTGCTCTCCAGCTCAGCGAGGAAAGGCCAGGGAGGGGGCACAGAATCACCAAGGCAGGCCATGAATCCCCCTCTTTCCTCCCAKACTCACATCACTGGGCAGCTTGCAGAGGGATGCACGGTTCCCTATCCCCCACCTGTGAGGATGGAGCATTTTAAGGCTTTATTGGGTGTGGGGAGGTTGGCAAAGCCTCCTGGGTCACAGCTGGATGGCAAGGAGATAGTCCTCATCGTCGTCTGGGGGGGCAGGGGGCGGTGGTGCGGCAGGGGCCGGCGGTGGCCGGTGCAGTCGGTGCCCCAGGGCCACATCTCGGGGGTCCAGGGGCTGCCCCTTGCGCATGACGTACAGGAAATAGTGGAAGGCACCGGCGTCCCCGTCCCCGCAGGCGGCGTGGCGCAGGGACCAGCCAAAGGCCTCCTGGGCATAGTGGGGCTTGCGGAAGTGGGGCTGGGCGAAGGTGATGGAGATGAAGCAGCCCCCTGGGCGCAGCACCCGGCTCACCTGCRTCGGGAGAACCCCCAGGACGGGGTGGGGGAACACAGTGAGCTTCAGTACTTTGGCACCGTTCCCAGAGAACCCCTCACCATCTGCCAAAGACCCCTCGCAGCCTTTCCCATCACATCCCTAAATCTCTTGTCCTAACCTTGACCCCCCAAGAGACACACACCCTGGTTCTGACCTGTCCCCAGAACACCAATAATTGCCTAGTGGCAAACAGGAACAGGGCCCCCCCTGCCCCACCTCTCCCTGCACCCCAGAACTCTTCATTCCCACAGCAGATGGCACGGAAACCCAACCCTGGCATGGGGAAAAGCTTTACCCTTCTGAGCACAGAGCCCCACCAAGCAGAGTGCAGGACCACCCAGCAGTACCCCACCACCAACACCCAGAATGCGAGGGGGATGCGGGGGGTGTTTGATGGGAAAAGGCTCAACCCTTTTAATCACCATTTTCTCCCTGCTGGAATTAAGCCCCGCTAACAGGATGGAAAAGAACATCAATTTTCTTGCTTGGCTTTATCCAATGTCAAAAGGCTTTTACGGCCAGCGCCCGCGTGCTTAGCATGCAAAGGCAGTGCCTGGGGCGGGCGGGCRTCCAGCCCCCTCCCCGGCACCCTGCCCCAGGCGGGGACAGCCCCAGGCCCCCCCRGCAAGGGCAGAGTCACCGCTGCAGGGGACAGGGCTGGGGGCCAACTGGGGGGTTTCCCAAGCTCTGTTTAATCTGCTTGGAAGCTCCAGCTGGGGAGCTCTGGCTGGGGCCAGTGGAGGGGACAATCAGCCCGTGTGTCCTCCCCTGCTGCGGCGGGGGCTTTTGAACCAAACCTTGCTGGTTTYGGCCAGGAAAAGGGGAACGCAGGTCCCTGCATCTCTCTCTAGAGAACCTAGCTGAGTATCCCTCCTGCTAAGTGGCTGAAARTCTGTCCTGGGAAGACCCCACAGCTTCCTGAGCTACGGGCAGGAAGGGGGTCCCCAGAGCTGGGGGCAGGCAGGGATCTCCGGCTGGAACTGAGCAAGGCATCCCGCATGTCCGCATCCCATCCCTCGTTAATAGAGCAATAATGGCCGTTGCTTAGAGACGAGCGCAGGAAACCTTCCCATCCGTCAGCTGGAGCGGGGGGCGAGGGGGGGCCCCTTCCCGCTCCCGCCACACCCGCTGTCCCCAGTTCGCTGGGACAGGGTGTCCCTGGGGKGTCCCCACAGCCAGGGTGGGTTTKCAGGACCTTACATCCCCCCAGGGAGAGCAAGGCAGAGGCTGTGAATCCCCCGATGAAAGGGGGAAGGGAGAGACCAGACCCCTCTGAAGGGACCCCCAAAGCAATGAGCAAGTGGGAACACCCAGAGAATCCCCCTGGGGTTGAGGACAGGGCTGGCCGCGGGAGGAGGCTGGTACCCAGTGATGCTGGGGGAGGGCAGGGATTGAGCAGAGGATTAAAAAGGGAAAAAAAAAAAAAGGGAAAATTAAATCCCTGCCGTTTGGCAAAATGACAAGGACAGGCAGGAGCGCTGGCAAGGAGGGCAGGGCACCGACAGCGAGCAAAGCCCCACTGCCTTGCCGGGGGTTGCACTCCCTCACGGGCTCAGCGAGGCAACAGAGGATCGAGAGCACTGTCAACAGCCACCAGCACCCTTCCAGCGCCCCGTGCTGCACCCCAGGGTGCCCGGGAGGMGCAGCAATTAATTATCCTGGCAGTTATTCCTGTGGGGTGGGAGAGGCTGCCAGGACCTGCGCCCCTGCACCGGGACAGGTTCAATCCGGCCCCGCCACCGCCAATTAACGGCCCCGAGGCATCGCCTGTCCCCGTGGCAACGCCATGGCCCTGTCGATGCTGATGGGAGTTGCCATGGCAACACCAGACCAGATGATGGGGACTCCGGCTCGAAGGTGATCGAAGATAGGGCGGGGGGTGGGGGGGGACAAGAGCTGTCACAGCCCCACGGTCACCACCTTGCCCTGGGCAGGCAGGGCTATCTCGGCGTGTCCCCCTAGATCCCCTACAGCCACCCACACCAGGATGGGGCCCACTTTTCCTGCCACCTCTTCATATTTAAGATGCAAATAAAGAGAGAGGTCATCCAGTCCCGCAGCAAGACCCAGGGACACATCCTGCTCCATCCACCTCCCTGGGGAGGAGATGATGGGCTCTAAGAGGGGGTGTCCCACCCCCAGGAGTGCTGGGAGCCCCCCAGTGCCCCCTTGCAGCACCGGCTGGGAGAACAGAAACCCTGTCTGGGGCACCCAGAGGGAAGCAGGGTGGTGAGGAGGCACTCTGCACCTTCCCCTACCCCAAACAGGGATGGGGTCCATCCTCTGCCCCCCTGCTCAGCTCTCCCCACCCCGTACCTCTGCCAGCACCCGGCGCATCGCAGCTGCTGCCTGGGGCGAGACCTCCCAGGGGTCGGTTTCGTTCACCATGAGCACATCGAGGGTGCCCTTCTCCAGCACCACGTCGAAGGAGGCGTCGGGGAAGGCGAGGGCGCGGATGTCCATGACGGCCCAGCGCAGGCCGGGGCAGTGGGCGTAGCGGGCGCGCATGGCCGCGATGCAGGCGGGGGAGAAGTCGATGCTGGTGACGTCGGTGTAGCCCCGCTCGTGCAGGTCGTGGCTCAGGGCGCTGTTGCCGCAGCCTGTGTGGGGCACAGCTCACACAGGGCTCGGGTGGGGTGCTGGCACCCCAACTCTGTTCCTCTGGCCCAGGGGAGGGGGGGCTGGGACGGCTGGAGAGGGGCAGGTCACCGCTTTGATGCCAGTTAGTGAGTGTTGGGCGAGYTGTTAATGACCCCTGTCCTGCAAGGCGGGTGCTTTGGGCTTCTGTCCTGGGGCAGCCCTGCACACCTGATCCTCCCATCTTGGGGTGGGATGCATGGGGAGGCTGAAGGCAGGAAAGGGACAGGGGGCATCCCCAGTCCTCCCTCCCGAAGTGCTGTGGGGCAGGAGATGGCCGTGGTCCCCAAGAGCCTGCTGGATAGCTCCAGTGGAAAATCAGGGAAGAGTTTAACCAGGGAGAGTTAAACCTTTTAGGGGTTAAACTTTAGGCGGGGGGGTTTAGTCAGGATGGATGGAGAGAAGGATGGAACAACTCCTGCCTCAGCTGGACACGGGGAGAGCCCCTCTCCCATGCCCTCCCCTCGGAGCCGCTCCGCCGGGGCTCGGCCGCTCACCGGGGGGGCCGAGGGGGATCCCGGGGAGGGGGGCGGATTTGGGGGCTATTAAGCGCAGCTGGCAGCGGCTGATCCGCTAACAGGATCGGTGATTACACCCGCCTAATCCCGCCGGCCCGGCGGCAGATCAGACCGCAGGTGGGATTACGGGGCGGTTATACCGCCCCTCTGCCCTCCCGCGCCACCGGCACCGGGGCCACCCCGCCGGACCGGGCCGAACCGGGCGCCGCTCCCAGCAGCGGCCCGGTGCCACACCGCCCCCTGGCGGCTAATGTCAGCGCATCCACCGGCGGGACCCCGAGCCCCGCCCGCCCGCCCTCCACCGGGCACGCCGGGCACGGGGCACGTACCGAGGACGAGGATGCGGTCACCGGGGCGCAGCTCGGGCTCCAGCTGCGGGAGGAACCGGGAGAGCCCCCCGAGCCACTCGCGGGTGTCGGCGCCCTCCCGGCGGTACAGCGCGTCCCAGAACCGGCGCCGCCCGTACTGCGGGGGGGCGGGGGGCGCGCGCCGCCGGTCCATGCCCGCGAGCGGGGCGGGAGCACCGGGCGCCACGTGCCGCCCGCGCCGCCACGTGCGGCTTCCGGTCCGGCCGGGTGCGCCGCGCTAAGCGCTCCGGGCAGAAACACGGAGCGGCATGGCGGCGGGACGGGGGGCGGCGGCGCTGCGGCGGGCATGGCGGGAGCGGCGGGCGGCGCTGCTGGAGCCCCGCTACACCCCGCTGGTGGCCGCCTGCCTCTGCCTCGCCGAGGGCGGCGTCAACCTCTGGGTCATCCGCAGGGTTCCCTGTGAGTGGCGGGGCGCGGCCCGGCGCTGCCCCCGGGCATGGCGGGGCCGGTCCGGSACGGCGCGGGGCGGTCCGGGGGCAGGGACAGCTCGGCCCCGGGGCGGGCGGTGATGGAGAGGCTCGTCTGGGGCAGCGTGGGGGCGGGGATTCGGCGGGCAGGGGGACAGAGCTGCCCCGGCCCCTCGGGTSACAGCATCCCCGGGCAGGGCATGGGGCCGGCAGGGGCGGGATGGGGCCGCGGGTCCCGCAGGTGGCCTGGCTGGCAGCACGGCAGGATGGCACAGACCGGCGGGTTTGGAGGTTCAGAAGCCCCCACAGCCTCTGCAGTGCCCTCCGAGCCCCAGCTGACCCCGCCGTCCCGCAGACACCGAGATCGACTGGAAGGCCTACATGCAGGAGGTGGAGGGTTTCGCCAATGGCACTCTGGACTACACGCAGCTCAAGGGTGACACCGGGCCGCTGGTGTGAGTGACAGGGACACCCAGCCTCCGTCACCGGCGGCTCCCGAGGGGCCGCAGGGCCCGGCCGCTCACTGCCGTGTCCCCGCAGTTACCCCGCCGGCTTCGTTTACATCTTCCTGGGGCTCTACCATGCCACGGGCCGCGGCTCCGACATCCGCCTGGCGCAGTACCTGTTCGCCGGCCTCTACCTCCTCAACCTGCTCCTCGTCTTCCGCATCTACTGCCGAACCAACAAGGTACCCTGAGTACCCTGAGGCCCGGCAGCGCCCCTGCTCTGCTGAGCCCGCACCCCGGGTCACAGGGTCAGGACTGAGGTCTGGAGGGGCTCCGTGTCACCAGGGACTGCAGGACAGGCTGCTGATAACCCTCGTGTGTCTCTGTCCCCCGCAAGGTCCCCCCGTATGTTTTCTTCTTCATGTGCTGCGCCTCGTACCGCATCCACTCCATCTTTGTCCTGCGCCTCTTTAATGATCCTGTGGCCATGGCCATCCTCTTCCTCGCCATCAACCTCTTCCTGGAGGAGCGCTGGTCCTGGGGCTGCCTCCTCTTCAGGTGAGGGGCTGGGGCTGCTCCCCGTGGGGTGCTGGGTGTACGAGCCAGCTCTGCCCCTGGAGGAGGCTGCTCAGGGGCTGCCTGGGCTCCTGTGTGGGCTCCACAGTGGTAACGCAGCTTCCTGCTCAGCCTGGCTGTGTCTGTGAAGATGAACATCCTGCTCTTCGCCCCTGGACTCCTCTTCCTCCTCCTGCAACGGTTCGGTCTCCTGGGCTGTATCCCCAAGCTCTGCATCTGTGCCCTGCTTCAGGTGGGTCCCTGCTTGCACTGGCTGCAGGAGCAGGGAGCAGTGGAGCTCCCTGCCAGGGTGGGGACAGTGGCACCAGCATCTGTGGCCCCTCGCAGCAAGCTGGGTGTTGATAAATAATCCAATTAATAGCCCTTTGCTCTTTGGCTGACTGTCCCTGTGACCCCACGTGATACTGGGGCTCTCAGGAGGTGTCTGGGGTGACAGTGACCCTGGTGTAGGGTGATGGTGCTGCTGTGTCCCCGGCAGGTGGTTCTGGGGCTGCCCTTCCTGCTGGTGAACCCCGTGGGGTACCTGACCCGCTCCTTTGACCTGGGCCGCCAGTTCCAGTTCAAGTGGACGGTGAACTGGCGCTTCCTCCCAGAAGAGATTTTCCAGAATCGAGTTTTCCATGCTGCTCTGCTCCTGGCTCACCTGGCTGGCCTGGGGCTCTTTGCACTGCACCGGTGGCACAGGTGAGACCTGGGGTTCCCYGTGGGTGCTGGTCCCTGCCAGCCCCCATGTGCAGGATGCAGACCCGTGACTCCCCTGCCCCTGCAGTGCTGCTGTCCTGGGACTGCAGGTGTGAGTTGGAGGGGAGTTACTGTTCTCTTTTGGGGGCTGTACTGCCCAAGCACTGTGGCTCACAGGGCAAAGTTGGGGTGGGAGAAACGTTCAGGAGCTAAGATCCATGTTTGTGCTTTCCCCTCAGTTCCAAAGAGAACATCCTGACTCTGCTGAAGGATCCTGCCAAAAGGAAACCCGCATCCCCTCACTTGACCGCCAACAATATCCTTTGGCAGGGTGGGCAGCAAGGAGAGAGGGGGAAGGCAGGGCAGGGCAGGAAGGAYCTTGGTTAGGTTCCAGGGGCAAGGAGCTGTGCTGGACACTTGGGGAGCTGTTGTGGGATCACACCTCCAGCCTCGCAGGTTTGCCCCCTTAATGCCAGTGCATGGATTGTCTTCATCCTCTTCTCCTCCAACTTCCTGGGTGTCTGCTGCAGCCGCTCCCTGCACTACCAGTTTTACGTCTGGTATTTCCACACRCTGCCCTACTTACTCTGGTGTACCCCAACCACCAAGCTCGCCCACATGCCCAAGTACGTGCTGCCAAGGAGGGGGAGCACCCATCTGCTGGGGTCTGGGAGCCAGGGGCCTGGTGTGRGGCCCCCATGCTGACCCCCAGCTTTCTCCCCCTACAGGGTGCTGCTGCTGGGCGTGATCGAGCTCTGCTGGAACACCTATCCCTCCACAGTCTGCAGTTCCCTGTCCCTGCACATCTGCCATGGGCTCATCCTGCTCCAGCTGTGGTACGGCACAGCCCCCTCACCAGTGTCACACACCCCTCCACCRAGCAGGAAACCCACAGCCATATCCAAGAAAGCCCAGTGAGAGTGGGGATGGTTGGCCTGCTCTTTTCTAACTTGACTCCCAAGCTGCCCACAGGAAATCCCAAGAGGGCCATGAGCCCTGGAACTGTGCAAAGGGGGCAGGCATGGGGATCCTCGAAAGGCAGGACTTGCTGAATAAAGGGGGCTTTGTGTGCCCTTCCCCAAAATCCTTGTGCTGTGATGRTGTCAGAACAGCTGTCCCTGGACTTGCCCCACATGGGGGAAGGCAAAGCAGCTTCTGGAGCCATGGGCACTATCACTTCCCAACCCTGGGAGAGGGGTGCCCAGGGCTGGGCAACAGCCTCTGGGTGATGTTAAAACAGAGGATCTGCAAAACTGCTTTGCCACAAGGTTTCAGTTGCTTTGATGTAGCCCAGGAATGCCTCCAGCACAGCTTTTCCTATTGCCCTGTCTGCTCCCTCCCACCAGAGGTGGCTGGGAAGGGGGTGAGCCCTGGCATGGCCTGAATGGGCTCTCTGCTGATAASAGACACCAGTGCAGGTGGCTTGGAGCCAGGTGTCTTTATTGGCCCCTTGGGCAGCTGTCAGACGTTGTTGGGGTTGTAGCACAGCATGTTCAGCTTGATGTTCTCGTCCCAGTGACGCAGCAGCAGGAACAAGTGCCTGGCCGCCCCTTTGAGGCAGCCCACGTCCACCCCCTCGGGCAGGCGCTGCGCCTGCAGCCACGCGTCCGCCTTGGCCGCCACCAGCTCCCACTCCTCGAAGAAACCGGCGCAGCGATGCTCCAGCCACGCCAAGGCCACCGCCGTGGCCCAGCTGGAACTCTCCAGGTCCTCCGGCCCCACGTCCTGACAGCTCAGGCCGGCCTCAGAGGGTGCAGCCGAGTGGGGCCCGGTGTCGGACTCGGAGCCGTGCCCGCTGTCCGCCTGCGCCCACACGGCTGCGCTGGGCACCTCGGAGCAAGTGCTYTGCGACGGGGGTGAGCTGGGCTGCGGGGCTGCGATGGGCTCCTCACCCTCCTCAAGCCTGGCTCCTGCCTCAGGGCTGCTCCTGGCCCCTGGGGACACGGGGCTGAGGCTGGCACGGTGGGAGGCGTAGGGGGATGCCCGGCGCAGGCGGTCCAGGGGGATCTGCACCACTTCKGAGAAGCTCTCGGTGAGCTGGAACGGCCCCCGGGCTTGCTGCAGCTGCACCTGTGAGGAGGGAGCAGGGAGTGGGGGGAGSGGGCAGGGGTGCAGACCCACACAGCCCCCAACACTGGGGGTGCAGGAATGTCCCTGGAGCATAGAGACAGTCTAACGCTCCCCAAAAAGCCACCAAGATCCCCAGAGACATTGAAGGACACAGCAGGGCTGAGCATGACCTGCTTGGGAGCATCCTGCGGTGCTCATGCTGCTGARCATGACCYGSGTGGCTCAGCTGGCAGCCAGCAGGRCAGGTCCYCGTGCTGGGGTGGGGACAGGGACGGGGAGCGGGTCCTTACCAGCGGGAGGTAGTCGTGGCTCGCGTGGTTGCTGGAGCACTCACTTTCCGGGCTGAGGCACTGCGGGCGCAGAGCCAGGCTGGGACCCCTGCGCCTGCTCAGGCTAAACCTGTGCGATAGCAGGCAAGGGAACGRGATTAGGGGAAATTCCTGAAGGGCAGCTGGACACCAAACTGCTGCAAGGAAGGGGCTGCAGCACCAAAACCCCAGCTTAGGCTGCAGGAGCTGGCAGGGGACACGGGACCAGCAGCTCCCAAAAGGTGGCACCGGCCCCTTCTCCCCACAACATGCCATTTTTTGGTCCCTCACATCCCCCCATCCCACAGTGTCACCTGGAGCCTGCGACGCTCTCTGTGGATTTCTGGGAGCCCATGGAGGTGGTGGAGGGGCTGGATGGAGGCTCTGCAATGAGGAAGAGTTAAATACRATGGGAACATGATGCACCCAGAGGTGCGTCCCACTGCCACTGCCCAGCACCTGGGAGGGCAGCTCAGCCCTGTCCCCAGGGTAGTGAGGGCACAGAGGATGCTCCAGCTGTGGAGGGCATTGGGGATACCCCATCTCCCACCCTGATCCAGCCCTTGGCCCTCTGCAGSCTGGACACACCGTTTGAGTAGTTCTGCTTTTCCCAGCCAAAGGTAGGGGAGGAGATGCTGCCCGGAGACCTGGCAATCTCATCTCGCTCTGCAAAAGAGGAAAGTCTTGAGTGGCTCCGGGCTCCAGGGACCATCATAGCTCACAGCTGATGTCAGGGGCTGCTATCCTGTCCTCTCATGCCCCTCTCCCCARTACGGGGCTGATGCCT